GCATCTTCATTGGAAAAGCACGCATTAAATCTCATTAAAACTGGTTGCATCCTTTCTGAGCAACAACAGAACCTCGCATCTGGGAACTTTCACTGTCTCTTGAGTAAATTTTCTTACACTCTTCCAATTAAATGCATGGCCTTATCCATTATTAATTGCTGTAAATGTAATAAATACAGCGACGATTACTTCTACATTTGTTATGGGTTCTCCTTTTTCGAATGTATCCATAGACCATTTTACTTTGTCCCTGAAGTCGGCTTAGCCAAAGTTCCGCCTCAGCTCACGCAGGAGCGAGGTTGAAGGCGTCTGACAAAGCCGCTTTTCTAATTCGTCCCTCATTTCCATATAGTATCATGGCGTGAGCGACGAAAGTCGCTTCCATTCACAGAAGATCGCGATGACGATGGCGATTCATGGGAATCGCTGGCTACAGAAGCTTCTCATCAGCTATAAGCTTATTTACTCAGCCATTCGGCTCGGGGCTAAGGTTTGTCTCGTGGTTTCTTCAAATTTGATCTTTCGATTCCCACAATTATTTGTTTTGAAAATCTCGATTTTTTGTTTATTTATCGCGTCTAATCGAGCTGCGTACCATTGCTCGCTGCATTGCATGTGCTACGTTGATTATGAGAAGATCGTTGTTTATTTATGCCGCAAGAATAATTGCATTAAAAATGAGAAAAGCCTAAGGCTGCCCCAGGATTCGAGTGGGCTTATCCTGCCACTTGCCGCGTTTCTGCTTTGTCTTTCATAAAAAGGGTGCCAGCATCTTGTGTATGTCCTATTCTTTCCCGAACTCTAATGTTAGCTAAGGTTCGCTAAACACAGACTGAGTATTGACAAGTTTAGCCACAAAGGTCTGCTTACATTATTCATTAAGCGCCTTGTCCTCTGCGTGCTGCATTCCATATCTCATCGAGGGATGTTTATCTGGCATCTAGCCAAGGATGACTCCCATCATTGTATTCTCACCTATGTGTACTATTCATTCAAACGTATTTTCAAAGGAGTCTCTGCGGAGATGGCGAGTCATCGCTGTTTTTTTTCCTTACAATATGGTAGTGCCCATTCGTACACAGCCTCTCCCGTTCTTTCCGAAGAATGCGTATGGCTCTAGTCATTCGGGGTCGCCACCACATCTAGCAATTACAAGCTAGGGTTCGAGAAAGTTTTTAGATTAAATAAAATGCTGCTTTCGATGAAACTTAGATCGAAAAATGAGTGGAAAATAAATTTTGGAACTCCTTTTACTAAACTACAAGTATACCTTCGAAGACGTGTTGTTTCAAATCATGCAATTGTTTGGTTTTAAAACCCGCACCATGCAGTCATTTAATTTTTAAGGAACCTAAAATTTGGTACTTTCTCATTTCGTCTTTCCATACTTTTGCTTAGTATACCTTCATTTGATATCGTGCTTGTGCAAGTACGTTACCAATAAGAAATGGAGAACAGTCAAATGCTAGCATGCTATTTTTTGCAGTAAGTTAAATACGTTTCTCTTTGAATTGGTAAAGCAAACAACTCAGCTGCTTGTCAATTCTGAGAGGATTATAAGGTTTTTTTGCAGTTGTTTTGCAGCTGGTCTTATCTTTGAGGACTGTAGCATTTAAAAAAAAGTTGACGAAAGGTTCAAAAACTGTATAAAAAACCAGCGAAACCGAAATGATTTCTATTCCTAGAAGGTTCCAGTGGGAATCAAATAAGACTAACTAAAAGTCAGTACACGTCAATGTCTTTTTTCAGCGTGACATCGGCAACGTCCGAGATCTGCAGTGCTG